GGGACATCACTAGAAGTTGGGCCATTATCCTTAGTGTACCCATTTGACTCAGCTTGCTGTGAGACAGAAGGGACATCACTAGAAGTTGGGCCATTGTCCTTAGTGTACCCATTTGACTCAGCTTGCTTTGAGCCAGAAAGGACATCAGTACAGGGTGGGTCATTATCCTTAGTGTACCCATTTGACTCTGCAGCTTGCTTTGAGACAAAAGGGACATCACTAGAAGTTGGGCCATTATCCTTAGTGTGCCCATTTGACTCAGCTTGTTTTAAGGCAGAAGGAACATCAGTACAGAATGGGCCATTAATATCCTTACTTTGTTCATGAGCTTGTATTGATTCAGAAGGGACATTACTGCAGACTGGGCCACTATTGCTGCTGTGCTGTTCCTTTACCTCAGCATCCCATGTAGGATGAAGTCCAAGTGCAACACTATCAGAGACTTGACTATGACCATCAGCATTTTCACTGGTATCTTCTTGCACACAGCTACCAAAAGCTGCATTCTTTTCTTTATCGCTATTTCCTTTTGACTGCAAAATAATTGCATTCTCTTTAACGCCAGTGAAACTGACATCAGTATCATTGCTTGGCTCTTGACTCACCTTTGAGCAACACGCACCCTCATCAACTACCAAGAACTGTGCAGATGTTGAAGGGGATGCTATAACTGTCTCTGATGTTGATGACAATGACAGAGATGATAAATCAGCATTTTTTTCTTCTGAATTCCTCACTCTTTCAGCATTCTCACCCTCTTTCCCAACTCCTTCTCTATCACCATCCTTGGTACTATTTATGATGGAATTATCTGATAGGTCAATTAAACAAAACCCATTGGTATTTTTTACTGCATCCTTAGTTGTTACAGTTTCATTTCTTTCATTTAATTCAAACAGCCTTGGCGCAGTAGGTCTTAGTGGTGTATTAACTACAGAAGAGTTATGTGAAGGCACTGAAAAAGGTTGTTGGGCAGGATTACTACAGGATGCTTGACAACCCTTTTTTTTAAAACCACCCAACTTGGATTTAATGGTCGATGTAACTGAACGTAAAAGAGAGGACTTGGAGCTCCTATATTTTCTGCTTAATACATTTCTTACTTCATGTTTGGGGTCAAAATCACTCGTTACCAGTACATCGAGATACTGTAGCTGCTCATTCTCTACATGAAGATTAATACTTTCATAAGCTGCATCAAAAAGTTGATTTTGTAATTCCTTCATATCTTGATTTGTGGAATTAATGAAGGTGTTAAACTGGGCTATCATCTCTTCAGCTTCAAGTGGTTCTTCTATCAGTTTTCTAATTCTGGCATGATTCCCTTCCAAGAATATTTGTACCACCACAAACATCAGCTTATTGAAGAAATCTCCTGTGATCCAATCAGGTGAGAACCACTGGTATAAAGGTAAACCTTTGATTTCTGTCATCTTCTGTCTACGGCATTTTCCTGGTAAAAAACGAATGACCCATGATCCAGAGGGAGCTGAAAAAATAACAAAACATCCTTAAAAAAACCAGAATATTTACACGCACCTTAATGTGTTTCTTTGGCCATACAGTTTGAACATAATGGTCTGGTCATGTATTTGTTTGTGTTAATCAACATAGATAATAATTAACCCAGATCTGTGCCTCCAGAATGTCAGAAATATGGTGGTATCTGAAACATGTACTGTACCTTCACATTTTATCAGTTACCCTGAAACTTTTCTGGGCTGATCAATGTCAGGGCACGGCTAATACACAGATTGAACCCTAAAACAACCTCTGGGCTGACCGAAGTCAGGGCAATTAAGGCTAACACACAGACTGAACCTTGAAAAACCTCTGGGTTGATCTAAGTCAGGGCACGGCTAACTCACAGATTGAACCCTGAAACAGCGTCTGGGCTGATCAAAGTCAGGGCATGCCTCACTTATAGATAGAACCCCTGGGATATTCAAATTCAGGGCATATGGCTAATTTACAAATCAAACATCTGGGTTAGGGCACAGCTAACACCACAGATTGAATTTAACTTGTTTTGTTTCGCAAAGGTAGGAAATACCAGAGATAAACCCTCGAATCAAGGGATAAACCTAACAATTTCTAATAAACATGAAAAAGAAAATAGGATTCCGATGAGTTGTGTACACCACACCACCCTGTAATCATTCCAAAGGCAAAATGCGAAAAGTTGGTAGTAATGTTTACATTGACAAGGGAAGGTAATGAGGGATTGTTAAAGGATATTGTAATTAACTCGAGGAAAACCTTAATTCTACGAAAGAATAACTCTTCACACGTGTACATACATACCTGAAGACCACGGGTGACAGGACGATCGAGGGGAATCTCCCTTCACCTTTGAAGCCAAATTTCCCATCACAGTTCAGAATTAATAAATAAAACTGTATCTCAATTAAACAAGGAACATCTTAAGTACACTCTTTTCGTATTTGTCGATGGAAGAAATAATGAAAATAAGAGATAAAAAGGTTTAAAAATCCAAATATTTTGTTGGAGAAAAAAAGCAACACTGAACACTGAAGCTCGTGCTGACCTGGGAACTAGTCCTGGTGACCAGGCCTTCACGTGGCAGGGGTGGTGACTAAGCACTTTTTCAAAATGGCGGACAAAGAATGAGTGAAGCATTTCTTCTTTCTTGAGTGGAGTACTTTTTTGATCGAATCTAGCTAGTTTTCCTCGCGATCAAATCATGAAATACACTGTATCGGCCAAGGCGTATGCCAAGATGCTTCTGCACGCTGCTAAATACCCTCATACGTCTGTGAATGGTGTGTTATTGGGGGAAGAAGTGACGCAGGAAAGCGAGATGTTTATACTGGATGCCATTCCTTTGTTCCATCAGTGTCTTGGACTGGCTCCTATGTTGGAAGTGGCTCTCACTCAGGTAGGCTTATAGCTTTTTTTATGTGGTATTTAAAATAATCGGCTAGATTGATGGCACCTGTTCTTGATTGCAACTCTCTTTGAAGGTAGAAATCTAGATACCGCTGTAAAGCTTGTATAGTTCGCAACTCATCGATCACCCCCTAAATTTATTGGTTTTAAGTTCATATAATTTAGGTGAAAATCGTATTCGAATATCTCACATTTTATTACGTAAACAATCTTGAATTTAGTAAGATCAAACGAGCATATATTTATACAGTGAATCTATAAATGATTCACGGCCCATCACCCCCTAAATTGATTGGTTATAATATAAATTCATGCAATTTAAACATTTTGTGCAATCAAAGGATTTGTCCCTTTAATTCGTCTTTCTTTTGAATCATGGCTGCACATCTTGTAATAGAGAGACCATGGTTTAAACTTTGTTGATATTTTCTTATCAGATTGATTCCTACTGCAAAGCAAGTGGCCAGCAAGTTGTGGGGTACTTCCAAGCCAATGAACATGTCAATAGTAACAGGTAAAATATCATTATAATATGACACATTTTGGATTTGAATTGGAGATCCAATTTTGTGTTATATTCATATAAACATAAAACAATAGATCTCTTTAACTTGTGTTTAGATTTTTCCATCCCAGACCACATGTCATTCCCTGGAGTATTTATTTAACAGTTGCATATGAGAACCCACATGAATGTAGAATACAACTCAAACAAAGAATCTATTCTCAAGAGAATAACATGTGGTCTGAAATGGTAAAACATTACGCCCATTTTTGTCATATCTAATGCCTTTTAATCATTTTGGTTACAGTCCAGATGGAATAGCTTATAAAATTGGAGAAAAAATTACAGATCAGTTAGCAAATGCTTGCATATTAATGGTGAGTAGCCTTGTCTACCTTCTAACATTATGTGTTCATAATACACAAACCAGTACTTACTGTATCACCAGAAATGTGTCTTATTAAATTCTACACATATGTATAAATATGAGAAAGGAACTAAAGAACTAGAGTTCTTAGACTTTATTGCTTACTATTAATCACGTGACTTTTTGGAGTTGACTGGGGGGCAAACAAGCGGTTGACTGGGGGGCAACTAGCGGATGCTAAGTCAAAGCATATCAAAATAAGCCCTCAAACTATTGTATTTGACTATTTTCACGACATCAAACCAAAAAACAAGAGATCAAAACGACCTCCAGGATTCTACAAGCCATCAAAAAAGAGCTATTACCGGAAGTGACGTCTATTGATAGCAACCTATATGGATTTTCATATACCACATGTTTGTGTTTCTTTTGCAGATTGATAATACCAAGATGTCAATAGCCTGTGATGAAGTAGCAGTCAGGGTATAGTAGACATAATACAATTAATCATGACTTATATGTACTGTGTACACATCTATGTACCTCTGTTATTTTAAAACCAAGCATGGAAATATATCAATAGTCATTCCAATGCATCACTCTAATCTAACTTTGCTGCCTAAAATAAAATAAAAATGATGTGCATTTACTTCAAAGTTTATAATGCTAATAGAGGTTTTGCACTACACATGAAGCAGAAACAATTGAATCTGGTTTAATCTGGTTTATACAAAAAAGAATTCAGTCTCCCAGGGGGAAAATACTCTATTGTTGTACCTCATGTCATGGCTGCCATCACGTGATGGTGCAAAGCCTCTATACGACATGTTTTTCCAGCCAATCAGATTGTGTTACTGTCTACATTTTTTTGGAGTTGATGGAACATGACTTTGAAAATTGTCCTGATACATTTTTTTCCCATTATTCATAGTGTTACATAGTGCAAGAAAATAAATGGAAGATGAATGACAAAGATCTGTAAGTAGTATGGTTTGCTCTATTTGTGGTTTACGGTATCATGGTTTGCTCCATAAAATGTAGTATCAATTTAGAAATATGAGTAGGTTATTTTGATAGACCTAAATATGTTGAGCTGTTTACTTTTTGCTTTGGTAGGCAATTAAAGTAAAATCAATGGATGTACATTATTCATGAACTCATATGAATGAACAACCACAAACTATGGATTTAAAAGCTTTTTATAAGAATTCCCCTCTTCCCAACTCAAAATTATCATGTGTATATGAAAACATTTGTTTTTGACAGATGCATAGATGGGGGAGAAGAGACACTAAGCTTGACGTCAGAGCTCATAGAGGGCAAAGCATATCAAAGCCTTGTAGATTTTGATAACCACCTAGATGATATAACATTAGATTGGTCAAATCGAGATATCAATAGACTGGTAGATCTTACTGCTCAGTAACTCTCTTCTCTCAACTCTCTTATACTTGTTTTTAAAAAATATAATACATATTGTCAGATTTAAAAAAGTAAGTTTTTTTGGGTTATAATTAATGTTTTTTCCATAACATCGTTGTAAAATATTGTTGTGCAAAGATTGTCATGGTAATTGTCTTGATTGACAATCCTTCCAAAATGTACTTTGACATAGGTGCAAATTGTACAATTCTGTTTTGTGGGCTCAGAATTACCTTGAGACTTATTGTGATTTTGAGCCGTGCCAATACGGGTTTATACTAGCCGCCAATATAAACCAGTATTGGCGGTAAATAACAACAACTTAAAACATGGCAGACACAACTTATTGCAACCTGATTATTGATGGTGACATCTGAAGATATGCTTAAAATATGCTTCCTTGTTCAGATTTTCTACACCTTGTGAACTTTCATTCCATGCAGCTGAGTTGATCTTGAGGGCGAACTCAAGGTCAACCAATCAGAATTGAGGATCCAACGTTGTATTTTTATTAGCATTTCCATGATTCTGGCAAAAGAACCTATGAAAATGACATTTTTTTCTAGTAGAATGTGTAATCTCTGAGATTAAATTATACATTAAATTATTCAAAATGGTCACAGCCTTGTTGTTGCTGGTTTGCAATTATTCCCAAGGGAGTGAAATAACAAAAGATGGCCATGTTGGTTGATATAGCAAATGTTTCACTGACGTTCAGTACAGCAGAAGACACTAGAGTGACCACAGTAAATCCGTGAAACTTTAGTATTACTAAATAGCAAATTTTTTATGCAAATTCCATTATTTTCTATTGTTTAACTAAAACTATTTCGTACTATTTAGTAATTAGTGTTTCACGAATTTACTGTGGTCACTCTATAAACTATGTAAGATTAAAAAATGATAAAAGATCTTTTATTAGTGTGATTCTATATCTGATTGATAAATACTGATTTGTACGCATATGTATTTAACTTATTCGGACATTTTATTATTAACACATTTCTCAGAAAGTGAGCTTCAGATTTGGCGAATTATTTGAGTGTTTATTTTTATTGTTTTCATCGCCATGAGACACGGAGAAATAGTAACAGATAAGTTCAATAATTTTCCTTTTCGCTAAAATTAGATATACAGCTGATCATCGAGGACAGCTATCATGAATAATTGTTTCCTAAAATTCGCAGCACAAAGGAAATAACTCTTATCAAGAATGGTAGAAATTCCTGGAGGGGGGGGATTCTATCAGGAGGGCAGGGATCAGGCTCGTCAGAAATTTAAAAGGTACTCCGAGTCTTGTCCAGCTGGGCGTGGCAACTAATTTTTCTACCTGTAAAACGTACAAAATATTTTGGAGTAACCGACTTACTTTATGGTGGGTCTTTTAGATTCGTGACCCCCTAAAAGGTACCAAATTGCAAATAAAACGTAGGACGAGTATCCCGCCCTATTCCAATCGGAATTACCCCCAGATAGAAATTAACTGCAGCCCAATGGCTTATCTATGACCTCGGTTACAGGTCACGCATTTATTAGACCAGAGAATTTGCAGAAACCCCTTTAAAGCGGGAGACTGAATAAAGCAAAACGTCTTTAGCTTCTTCATACTTTGACATATTACCCCAATTCGACTTCTGGCCCATTTACCTATTGACATTATGGACCAATCCCGGGGGACCAATTGACCAAACATTGAACGTAATGGCATACAAAAAAGTCAATTGGTTACCTCTTATTGCATGGCTTCATACCCTTCAAATTCGAGAGCCATTTACCTACTGACATTCTTGACATTATGGACCTGATTGACCAAATATACTAAACGAAATACCATACAAAAAAGTCAATAGGTTACTCCGCCTTATCGCATGACTTCATAGCTTTCAAAATCAGTCGAGACCCATTTACCTAATGACATTCGTGATATTATGGACCAATTGACCAAATATGTAACTAAATGGTATTCGCTATTTTCCGTACATCGGCTCACTGGCCATACACAAAGCATTCAACCGAGGCTGCAATGTAGTTTCACAGGATTATTCAATTTTGAACCCTGTAGCCTCGATTGAATGCCTTAGTTTGACCAGTCAGGCGATATATGGAAAGTGGTGAAAACCAAAAAGCCAATAGGTCACTCCTTATTGCATGACTTCATACCCTTCAAAATTCGACTTTTGACCCATTTACCCATTGAACCAAAAAAGAAAAAGAAGCTTTAAAAGCTTGTTAAGTTTTCGTTTGTGCGGTTCATTGAGAGAAAGACCTGTTGTAGCAAATCCTATAGTACAACCTATTCCTGGAGCATAAGAAAGAATGAGTATCTCTATTTTTATTCGTATAATTATCGTTACTTTTTGTTGCTTGCCATTGTTCGATAGCGTCGTTTCAGGAACTATGAAATGCAATGGTATGGAAGAGCTATGTGAATTAAGACTAAACCAGGTTACCTTACCCGGGACGCACAACTCGGGTTCCGGGTTCAACGGTCACTTGTATCACTGGGGAGGTGGTATTGCAGGATCTAGTCTATGGAGAAACCAACAATGGAGCTTTACACGTCAATTGGATTATGGGATTAGGTATTTTGATATTGATACTTGCTACGTTGATAAGGTAAAGATTGAATTTGAACGTATTAGTTGATCGATATATCTAATTCATTATTGTAAGAATCAGTAAGACTGACCGTTTTAAAGAACTGACGTATCGATTGCGAGCATCAAAAGCATTACTATTGCATGCTATAATGAAAATGATGATATAACGTCTTTAAAACGATTGAGATGATATACATCATGTACTTTCATTATCATTTGAAGATGAAGTCGCGCGCGTGCCAATCGATCAGTCACGCATGATCCCATCCATTGGGTACGCCTTAGTTTAGCGGCTGCATTCCTTCTTTAGCACCTGCTCGCGCCAATAAACAACTCTTCTATGGAAATCCAATCCATTCTTTCGTTATTTTAAGTTTCCATTTCCTTTTGCTTTACTTGGTTGTATATTAGTCAGGACCTCCAAGTCGTTTGTTTCGACTTCTCCCCGTTCTGTGTAGCTTTAGATTAGAGACCTTACGCAAGAGGAAGACGATGCGAGGATAATGATGCGAACATATCATCTTCTAAGCCGACAGTCTGAGGGGGTGAAGGGCTCATCGTCGAGCGCTTTGCATGAAGCCCTGGCTAAAAAAAATTGGGCAACTTTTGCCCGCGGTTTCAAAGTAAAATAAATCAACTTTTTCTTTTTTAATCCCAGATGCTTAGATTCTCAGTGCAGACCTCAAGGGCTGTTGTAGTGTGGAAATGTCACTAAACTAATCTCCTTTAATTCAATTAGGAATATAGCGATTGGTGGACCAAAGGAGCCTGGGCTTGTCACATGGGTATGGGGACAGCTGCGTACGCAGGTCCAGTCAAGAAAATCCTCCAACAAATCAATGATTGGCTCAACAAACCAGAACACTTAAACGAGGTGGTCGTCATCAAGTTTGGTCGCGATGTCGAAGTCGACTTCAAACCGGAACGAATTTACAAAAGCATTCTCGCAGATCTGAAAAACCTTGGTTGGAAGCCAACGCCGTCAACCAAGAGCGCTAAATCTCTAACAGCAAACGCTGAGTTCGGTAAGAACTACCAATGGCCGAAGCTCAGAGATGCTATCAACACAAACCAGAGGGTTTTTCTCTTCTTTAGCGAGAAATTGATGAAGTTTAGCAAACCGTCTGAGTTTCGGGGAACTCCGTGGATTATCACGGCTGAGAGGGAAGTCAAGATTACTTGGCCCGACGTTGGGGGAGACTGTAGTGGTGTTGTAGACAAGATCGTTAAAAACTGCAAGAAGTTTAAGCGCCATGGTGGTCTATTAGAGTTGGATGTGTTTGGGTTTTCCGTAACCGTATCAACCTGGGCAATGCAGGGTAAATGTGACAAGTACATGCAGAAGTCAATGGATGAATGCTTTGCCGTGACCAAGAAATACCACAAGACTGTCAATGCAGTGTTAGCTGACTGGGTGGATCGATCAAAGTCACCCAACACGGTACTGGATGTTGCGAGGAAGCAAAATGAGCGCAATATTGCTATGTTCAAGATTAATGGACGATAGTCTCCTACTAGTCTTCTTGAATTCAGTTCACTTTGATATATAAATATGTTATATTGCGTGACGTGTCACGCAAGGACGCGCAAGTGATACCTTAGACTAGAAAGAGTGGGTAAGCCTAGAGTTATCGAAACAAATGCATCAACGCAAATAAAGTCATTAAAAATATAACGATATACAATATCATAAATATCACGACTAATTATAAATGCATTCAAAGATTGTCTGGAGAGCAATAATAATAAAATAAGAAAAACTGAAAATGAATAGCTTGGATCTTTATCTGGTACGTAGATGAGTCGGTACAAAATAATAAGAGCTAGAGCAACCTCGTTCCCAGGGCCTTCTCTTATCGCGAAGTTGGAGCTAGAGCTAAGAAGTCGCTAAATCTTCACCGCAGTGGCGGTGACGAAGCTCAACGGGGTCGAAAGCAATATAATGTACGGTGATATAAAATCTCGTACCCAGAGCCCTTATTTCTTACTGCGCATGCTCAATTATTTCGTCGAGCATGCGCAGTAAGAAATAAGGGCTCTGAGTACGAGGGTGATATCATTTAAGGTTAGCGGAAAAACTAACAGCCGACTTTCAATGATCATAATTTTATTTTAGTTTTCGTTCATAAGCTATATGCTTAATATTTCTTTTCTTTTTTTTAGCCTAAATTTGGAGATTAAACGTGAATTGATTCTACAAGCTAAGTTCAACCGAAATTTTACAATTTATATAACAAGCATCTGTAAGGTTAAGTTTCTATGTACTTTCGGAGAGAACACGGTCGTGTAACAGCTCATTAAGGATGTGAGCCAATTTCTTATTGGATTTCTTCTCTTCTTCTCGTTTGCTTTTAGTCTGAATTTTGAAAAACGTTTTGTTGCTTTGCTCGTTGCTTTTGTCCCACTGCGCCTGCTCAGTACCTGTCCCGCTGACCCCAGCGTTTGTTTTAGCGGGGTCTGTTTCGTCAACTGCTCGGCTGTGTTCGTCTTTTACCTCGGTCCGATCATGAAAACGAAGAAAGAATTCCCGTTTTTCCTTTTTGTTGTTCATTTGAACATCACGTCGGGATCTCCGCGCCGCATTTTGCATCAAATATCTGGTATCTGGTATACATTCATGCCATACTTGCAAGTATTTGGCAACATGGGGTTCCTGTGTGTCACCAAATATTCCCCTCCTCGCTGAGATTGGACACGACTGCTTGTCAGTGCAGTAGTACTTAAGGGTGCGCAACACGTGATCTGGGTCCATCTCGGTAAGCTGAAGGGTGGTCATGTTCGGAGAGTTAGTTTGTGCGCATGTGTAATGGTTGTCTCGTCCCCAGAATGCGTGGATGATTTTAACGAGTTGTTGTGAGCCACAAAGAAGAACTTCGCGTCCTCCTTCGCAAACTGTGGTCACATTCTACAAATGAAAGAAAGGACATTTTAGATTCTATTTAACTATGATAATACACATAAGCTCTGGCCTCGATAGCAAAATGCAAAGATAGAGGTAAAAAAATTATAATTTCGTTCACTGAAAATGCGATTCGTTGCGCCAGTTGAAGCAGATATAACACACACGCCAGTTAATTTACTTGACATTGAAATATTTTAAAGTGCTATTAGGTATGCTCTATATGGTGCGCACATACTGCGCAGCTTTAAGGGACGGACAAGCATATATGTTGATTAAAAGTGCATCTAAATTGACTTTCAATTCTGGCACAAGGACATACGTAAGCACTTTGAAATCTTGATTATTCATTGCGGCTTGAACGGGCAAAGCATTGCATATGGTTGTGAAGTGTGTTCGATACTGTTATATCCTATAGCTAAAGATGTTTTTCTAATTTTTATCTAGTATATTTTAGTTATAACTGCAAAGTCTTACCGTTGAAACCATAAACATTGGATATTCAGGATAAGCTGGTGCAGATCCGTGAGTTCCTTGTGGACCGGGTGCCCCGGGAGGGCCAGGAAGTCCCATAACACCCGACGGTCCTTTAGGTCCTCTATATCCCGGAGGTCCTGGGGGTCCTCGCGGACCTATCATACCAGGAGGTCCACGGCGTCCTCTATATCCCGTATATCCCCGGTATCCTGCGTCACCCTGTACGCCTTGATATCCCGGGGGTCCTTTAGGGCCGTCTGGTCCCGGGGGCCCTTGTGCACCTCTCAGAAAGAACCCAACTGCTATTGGTTTATTTAGAATCTCGTCATATTCGAGTTGGTCAAGGAGATCTTGGGTAACTGCGCTGCCGAGTTCTGGTAAATGGTCCAGTGATACTGTTGCAAGTGCAATCTAAAGAAAAAAATATCAGTATTTCTAGTTCTATTAAATAGTATTATCCGAACATAAAGCAGCAGACTTCGTATCAATGTGAACAGCTCATGGTGTAGATGTGACCGCGCCGTGTTCGAGCATTCTGATTGGATGATTGCTAATCTTGCGCGTCATGATTGGTTCTACGAATTTTGTCAATTCCGTACCATGACGTTCCTACGTGGTACTACGTTTTAGTCATCCACTCTTAAATAAAACCTCTAAATCTATTCTTTACACATTGATAGGCCTAGCTAGGCTTAGACTAATGTCAAACGTCGAACTCTTCACATGAGCCGAACCTAATGACATTAAAGAAGTTTCAATTAGGTTCGGCTCATGTGAAGTTCGACGTTTGACCTGAGCCTTACTGACGATTGATAAAAAATGTACTATAATTTATTATTATAGGATCTACAAACCTGAAATGAAATAAAAAAGGCGAGCAAAGTCACCAACATTGTAATCTTCTTGTCTTAAATCATTCGTTGATGATTTTCTGTTGAAGGAAAAATTCTATTAGAATCAAATTAATTTTCATTCTAATTTATATTTAAATTCAAAATATAGAATTCTTAAAATTAGGCTAAAAAGGATCGAATAAATTGCTAAGCGCTAGAAATATCGTATGAATATTTTATCTCATAAGTTAATTTTTCTTCTAGTTTATATTTAAATCTAAATTATGACACAAGGATTCTTAAATTTAAGCTAAAAATGATCGAATAAATTGCTAAGCACTAGAAATATCGTATGAAATATTTTGTTTTGGGATAAATAATGTAATTTATTGAAAGGCGCTCATCTTATATAGAAGTTGAATATTGACTTTGTAAAGTATTTCTATGCATAATCTTACCTTTGAGTTTTTCTATATGACGTTATTCATGTTTGGTAGAAATAAATGATAAAATTTGTCCAATTTCGTTTCTTTTTGGAAGATCAAAAATCACCCAAAACACGCTCTATTGTCTTCTGCCTTCAATTGTTCAAAACAATTCATGTACCCATGATTCAAAGCGTGGGCTTTGTACTAAGGACGGGTGGTACATAGCGGGTACCGGTGATTCTGTAAGTACCGTGTCAATGAGCAGGTAGCTAATAAACTTTCAAGGGAGAGTTGTTTAAAGATTTTTACGATTCCACAGGTATCCCATATAATAAGAGAAGGCTAAAACAATCAAACAGGAATCCCGTTAAAGGATACACTAAAACAAGTACAGCAGCACCTGTTATTCACTAATAGAGATGTCCGCTTTGAGTCTTTTTTTACAGGAAAATAGGGACCGTGCTACTAGTTGTCCGTTTAATGAAGGATATCCGATGAATAGAGGTTTGTTTTACAGTTAATATGGGAGGCAGATTTTTGGGCCGTGCAGCCGAGCTGTCCATTTAATGAAGAGTGTCTGAAACACCATGATGTCTGAAACAAGGACACCGGATATGCGGTTTAAAGACTAGTTTCAAGTTATGAATATTATCTTGCTTGCTCACAGTTCGATCATCCTATGTACTTCCTCAACCAAGTGACGGTAGTAATCGGTAATCTTATTTTTCAAAGAATAAAAAATAATACTGACATTTTCGAGCGGAATTACGTTTTCTCATATTTTTTTTTCTGCTAACCTCCCCCTCCTTCCTTTATGCTCTCAATCCTCCATTTCCTAAATTGAAGAAAACCTCTCCTCCAGGCGGATCTAAGTCAGGACACAATAACTAACATACAGATCGAATAGGAATATAACGATTCAGAGCGGGTAATGAATAGACTTACTGAAAACCACTGTCTATGTAACAAAGTAGAAATAACAACCCATTTAAGTCATTAAAGAGATGTGTGGGTGACCGGCTTCCAAAGATGTAATCCGTAATGTATGAACGTGATAAAAGCAGTTTGTTGGTTTTCCTGCCCTTCGGCTTTCAAGTCACGATTTTTTTTTTGCACTATTTACTCTTCGTCTGGAAAAAATATAGTCTGTCAGTGTACAAGGTCAGCAATTTGATTGTATCTGTTATGAATGCTGCGTGACTCAACGTAGTTTGCTCTCCCGCAGTGACGTCATGTGGGTGACGACACGTACGAGAAGATAATCAAAGCATGTCAACAAATGGACAGCCCGTAACGAGAGCGGTGCCTTTGTACCACTGTCATTAACATGTGTTTGACCTGTGTAATTTGGTCTAAGGATTAGTTAGTTTATGACAGTTCGCTACCTGTCGGAACATGAAAGGGTTATCAAGGGTTATAAAGCTAAGCTATCGAGTACAATGTAAAGCTAGTTCAGTGGATGGATTGAGACTTGGTTTGTGATGGTGTCTCACGGGGATATGTCTCCGCAACAGCGCTCTAGAGACGTTGAAGTCGTTCTTCCTAACGAAGCCAAGAAAAAAATCCAGGTGTATACTCTATGCACGGTGAGCGAACTGAAGGTCATTTGCGAAGCATCTTTTGGCATCCCAACAGAATTGCAGAAAATTTCTCTGTTGGACGATGCTGGGAATATTGAGCTCAAAGATTGTGTTATGGTACCAAAAGCACCTCTAAAACTACAAGTTCCAATATGGTGGACTAAGTTCATTTGTTGCGTCTTGAAAAACGAAGTTGAAAATGTGTTTCGCAGGGTGCAATTACCGATGCAACAAGTTGGCAAGGACGAGAGGATATTTGTGGCCCTGTTCATGGGGGCTTGTTGTGGACTGGACGATCTGGTAGTTCGGCTGGCAAAGTTAAAGACGAATGTGAATTTGAGTACGGCTACTGATACGGGGAGGACTCTATTGCATGCGTGTGCTGCGAGTGGAAGTTTAAACTGCTTGGATATCATAATCAAACATTTGATGACTTCGAGTTTGGATTCTCTTGAAAATGTCGATGTAAATAAAGAAAACGCTTATTAACTTGCGGTGAGATTACACCACCAAGACGTGGCTGAAAGACTTTTGCATTACATGAATACAAAAATCACTCACAATGAGACTTGTAAGGTTTTGGAACAAGGTGTAGAAGCTGTTTCTGAAGCTACGATGAGTTCATCTTCGCCCCACCAAAGACAAGCAAATAGGCACCGTAAAATAAACAACGAGGCCATTAGTAATGAAAGAGTTGTTGAGAAAAATAAACAGAACAAGCAGAGCGATGCGAAAGAGGACATTAACAGCGATGACAATGAAAACCATCAAAGAACATCAACGAAATACGAAGAAACTTTGGATTCAAATGAAGGAAGTGAGTATGTTATTTTGAGTGAACAACAAGAAGAGGCAAAGACGATATCAGATATGCCGGTAAATGGTTTAATTACACCACCTGCCCTTGACACAAGCCAGCTGGACACTGACAGACTATCCAATTCACCTATTACTACTAGTCCCACTAGAGGATCTCAGGCGGGCCATTTGCTCGCAAAACGACGCGGAAACGAACAGAACATTTACAATGCAAGCACAACAGTACCAGGTATTAGTACTGGAAATGAAAGCTCAGAAGACAATGAGTTAGAACTAAAAACACGGCTGCCCAGTTTGGGGCCTCAAACGTCTCTGACTGGTCACCCTTTGGATGGTAGTGAGAAGGTTTTCCAGGTACAACACAGGCCTGGAAGGAAACTGGTAATTCGTTCATTCAGTGCACCAAATTCACCAGATATGTCACCAGTCGCGTCACCAAGGATTAGCCCAACAAGTGAAGTCTCGACTGTCTTAGCAGAAATGATCACAGACACTAGGAGCGCTCCAAACTCGCCGCTTGCTCGTCGATCTATCAAGAAGACGTTTAGAGCTGTTGGTATGACGGCAAGGTTTGCAGTCGGTGCCTATGCAAACCCGCCAAATTCACCTGTTTCCCGCGCCAGGGTTAGCAGGGAACCAATTGTTTTAGCTACTCCTAGTGTTGGCAACGCTGGAATCAAATTTGATCGTTACCGAAGGGGGTCTTTAGCTGTTGGTAATGAGGCTTTCAAGGTTCCTGTTCAGAGAGGAAAATCAAGGTAGATATGAATACTTGCTAGTCAGGTCTTTGTATATACTACACATCATACAATATAAAGATAAGAATCTTCTTATCAATATAAGTATATTTAATGATATATATTATAATTACGTGACATTTAGTCATATATACTGAAATGTAAGTATGACATATCACTGATATTAGCCATACATTCATTATTCATTTAAATACAAAGTTAAGCGAGATAAACGTTAGGAAAGTCAAGTTAGAAGCGGCTCTAATTGACGGTGCATACTTCACACTCTGAGAATAGTCTGAGAAGTGACCTGACAAACTTTACATCCCAGTTGATAAGGGGTCAAAAACATTGAATCAGAAACTGAAAAATCCATCGCGTAATATCACAGTCAATGTTATTAACGTTGTCCACTGAAAAAAGACATTTATTCTAAATGTGTAAATGTGTTAATGTCTTTTTTCGGTGGACAACGTTAATGACATTGACTGTATATCTTAGAGTTCCTTTTAATAAAAGGGGTATACAAAGGATATGTTCACTAAGAACCAAGTAAGAATCAAACCACAACATTAATTTCTTACAAAGAATTCTCAAAAACCAAACAAAATCTAGTCAAGGTATCTATGCAATCTAGCTTCAGACGCTCAAATATGAGACTTAATTTTATGAAAAACAAAAAAGCCCTAATCGTTTGGTGTTACTCCTTAATCCTTTGTACTAGGTGCTAAATAGTATTTTTATTACCTGGGTGCTTATGTATGCTATTATGTAAGGTAGATACGAAGGGCTTATCCAATCCCTTCACAGTATATTAGTATCTTGGCTTAGGTTTCTCAACTTTACCACTGTATTTTCAATCTAAATCATTATCGTAATTCCACTTTGGGTATAATTCTATACTAATCCACTTGAGTCTTGCAAGTGACCTGACTAAAGCATTTGGTTGTTTTTTCTTCAAACACGCGTTTGTTTTCGCATCAAAGCCTCGTCACGTTACCGCGGTCATAATGCCTTTTAGTTCTTATGATAAACATTTTTTGTTCTTTCCTTTGTTGATGTTTAAAACATGTTTAAATACCTGTTTTTACTCGATCGAGATGAACTAATGGATTGATGTTATTGTATGGTTTTTACCTTTAAATATTCCATTCGATTCAACAAAGGTAATTCCTTAACTAATAGAGCTAGATTAATATAATTAAAAAAAACTGAACTTGAAATTTTGAATCTTGGGTAACCCAACTGTGTCGAGTTGGCATTGCAGTGCATTGTGGGACTGTATTAGGGTTCATATTTCCAAGATGGCGTCTATTTTGTCCCCTAAAACAGTCAACTCGACTCAGTTCTATCCCTCAACCTCCGAATGGGTAATGCTCTCAGAAAACGTGTTATACGGTATCGCTATTAAGCGGAATCCAGTACTCTGACGTCACTCAGTACGAGTATAATCAACTATGACGTCATCTCATAATCCATGTTTGGATTGGACTACTGAACTTGTCATAATAGACAAATGATCTAGATAGATCTAAGACCTTTGGAGTATTTGAACGTGTATTAACATGAAGGTCAGGACCCCTTTTAAACGGCCTACGGTGATGTGGTTCTGTTTGATCAAGAGAGAGATGGATTTTGGTTCGATCGATTAAAGGACGGCGAATGGACAGACAGACTAAAACACGTGCACTAGGATTTTCATAGACATGATGCGCTTGTACGTGTATTCGTGTTGGGGGTCATATATATTAAAATAATAAATGTGATGTGACCTATTCAAACTGTCAAAACATTCACTCTGAAAGGAGTACTGGACTCCTAGACCCCTCCCTGGATCCGCTAACGGCTTGTGAAATTGTATGAGATATTTGTACCTTTGTACGCGATGAATAATCAGATCTCGGAGTTCCCCTAAGTATACTGTATATTCAAATCAAAGTCTCCCCATCGTTTGAAACTCTTTGGTCCTTGATACATCATGATTAGTGCTTCGTAAAAAAATTACTTCATGACTTGAAAAAAAGTTTTGCCATTAAACCATTCTAAGTGGGTAAACCGAATAGAAAATGTATGCATGAATGTTTGATCGAGACCTCGTACATAACTGTTCGTAATAACCGGGTGGCCGTAATAAGCACATTATTTAAGTTTTTGTCGTCCTTCCTTTTTCCTGACTCGTTTATCGATGTATTCATTGCATGATTTTGGTGTCAATCGACCTGAACAAAAGCCTACCGGAAAACACACGGTACCCGTCTTCTAACACGACAAAGATAACTGCGGTGAAGCACATGGATTTATTATTTGGTATTATATTCATCCAATTGTTTGAAGCTCTCTTGACAAGAAAAAACAAAGACAAGAAGTTAAGAAACCAAACCTGGATTAACAGAGGATTATTTTTAACGACTAAATTAATGAAATGAATAGTTAGGTCTTTATAGCCACTACGACATGTATTGCTTAGTAGCACACAACTTGGCTTTGTTGTGGACTTATTTAAGAAACCTTAGTAGAAAATATCTGAATTAAAAAAATAGTAAAATATCTAAGAAATAAATGATAATTGAGCTTCCTTTAGGTCAAAACCCTTGGGTAATGAATGACAACTTGATTGGAAGATACAGAACTATTATTTGACCTTCACTAAATGCCTTGCTTCGTATAGTATCAGATTTTAATCCGAAAAAAAGTGAAAATATCCAATGAAGATGTCTTATCAAATTTAGTAAATTTAGTAGTTTTGAGTCGTACATGTCGTGAGTGATATCTTTCTTTTGAAGAAAAATGTAATTAACTAGTTTGTAAACAAACGTGTGGAGGAATATCAACAGCAGAAATTTTCCATAAAAAATTAAAAAAAAAAGAAAGAAAGAAAGAAAAAATCCTATAAAAATTTTATGAATTTTTCTAAAAAAGTTAACGTTTCTCATATTTTGAATCTTGGAAGAATTTATTTAAAAAAAACACATTTATTGGAGACGTTGTTAAGAGAATGTTTTAGTTGGATGTAAAATTAACAAAGGATTAATTGCAGGGCGCATTTGTTTTACTAGTATTAACTCGTCAATCATTGCCGTCGCTTTGACTCTCGTACAGGACAAAAACTGAGTTGAGGTAAAACTTCTAGCGTGGCTTATTGAAGGCAATCCGGTTTGATTCCTGTTCTAATGCGCATTCGAATGACATTTTGAGGAAAAGAGTGATTATTTTTGATCCTTTTAACGGAAAAGCGATTTTACAAGCACATTCCTTTGTGCATACCTCTCGTGGTAAGTGTTTTTGTAAGTGGTTCAAACTATATAACTTAACAGTGAAGTGAGAATTAAAATTTAAGTACTTTTAATTAAGTCACATTATATGACTTTTAATATACATCTCTTCTGTTTTGTGAAGCTCCTTTTTCTATAAGTTTTTCAAAAATCGCAGAAACAGATACTTGAAAGAAAATACTTGAAACGCTAGCGGTTTAATTCATTAAGTTGTGCCAAATCTGCTGAATGATTTAGTTTATGTTTTTTGCTGATAAAGGTCATATTTCTATCAAACTATTAGTTTTAAAATACGTTTGAATTTTTACCATTGTAAGTAGTGGCGATTGTATTGCGAGAAAAGCATTGAAATGGCTTTCTTCGGCGTCTTACTACCACGGAATGCTTTCCCAGCACTCTATTGGCTTTCTCGTCTAAGGCATCAAAATGGCTTCTCAAAACTGACATTAAACTGGGTTCAAGACCTGACACTACTACAGATAATGACATTATTGAAACGGCAGTTCTAAATAGCGCTTGCCAAAAACATTGAAGGGGTCTCAAAATGTTTACATAAACAATTAGTTTTGCTTTTGTCAAGTGGTCATTTCATTAATTGAAAAAATTACATCATAAAAGTGCACTAGTTCTGAAATAAATGAAATATATATTTGTAATGAGAAAAAAACACCTTCCTGGTCGTCAGTGCTATTGCGGAGGGGGGGGGGGGGGGGGTTTTCCATGGAGACAGGAAATTTGAACGTATATAAAGATGTCTTTTGGTCAGTAATTTTCCATAAATTCATTATCATCATATCCTATGTCGTGGCGCCATAAGTCACATTCCTTGTTCATTTCCATACTTAACTAAGATGTAATTCTCTGAATACGTTACAGGTCAGTGTGTGAGGTGACGCTGAACGAGTCGTTACATAACCATTTGCTCACTAAAGCCATGGAAACCGAAGAACGAATGGAGTTGCCATGGAACGCGTGGATTGCAGCCAAGAGGAGAGAATCTGTTTCTCAACAACCAACCACGACTCTCGCTCCTATGCCTGAAAACAAACAGCTACAAGTGCCCGCCTCTCCTAATGCAAGACGGCGGTCGTTTCAGCAATGGCTGAACGAGAAAGACATGGAACAACTACGGCAAATGCATGAGCAGTCTCAGATAGAAGAACGAAACGACGCAGAAAGAACTGGACGACAGGTGAAGGGGAAGTCGTTTGAGGAGTGGTTGGAGGAGAAACACAGGGAAAGTCAACGGGAAAAAGAGAAGTTGAAAGAGAAGGAGGAAGCAGAGAAAAGCGAAGTTGAGAAGAAAATGAGACGAAGGAGAATGTCACAGCAGAAATATCAGTCGTGGCTGCAAGAAAAGGAACTGAAGGCTTTAGAAGAAGAAGAAAAACTCCTTGGAGAAGCAAAAAAGAAATTAGAAAAAATGAAGGTAAAATGGGAAGAGGAGGATGAAATGAAAAAGAAAGCTCCTGTTGCCATGGGAAAGGTTGCCGTTGGTAGAACAAAAAGTTGCCCTACCTCGAATACGGAAGATGGTAGAAAAATTTCAAGACAACGCTTTAGCAGCCTTCAAGTAACGTCTAAATGATATCCTAGGTGTTTGTCTAGACCCTCTTGTAATCGGCCACCGCACCTGCAGATCTCATTCGGTCGAACCACCTTCAAATATTGATTATCTCCGGTTATGGAAAAAGAGGTGGTTGCTTACTGGAGGTCCATTTTGTTGTAAGCGTATAGCTTGTTCTTTTTCCTATACATAATGCTGGTATTGCAGTGGACCTTTCAATATCGACCAGCTCTAACTATGACAAAAGGTGGTCGATTACTGGAGGTGTATTTTGCTGTAACACGCGATGTATTGTGTATATAATATGTAAGTTTATATCTGGCTTATAAATATACTGCTATTTCAATGTCGACTTTAGTAATATATTTGTCTTATACATATACTCATAATAGGCCAGACTCGGTTGGTCTGACTTGCTTGCAAGATTGGCACTTTGCATGATGACGTCATTTGACTACAGCAACTAAAATGCTTCGCGTTCGCGAATTTTCTTTTTTTATTCAAATTTGTGTTTGCTTATTAGGATAACATGACGATTCTTGCTATAATCAACTGAACAAAATAAAGTATGCAAGGGATTTTAAATTTAGTTGTAGCCAATAACGCCATAATGCAAATTTATTATAGCTTACTAGCTTCAAACTGTTTCTTACTATTAACCTTATCAAGTCGACTCAGTCAGCTAAAGCTTTTTTTCAAAAGCTCTTCGGAGTAAAACTGATCGACTGGGCTTCCTGTGTATCAGATCTCCTTGTGTCACAATCAGTTGGTCCTGTGATTAGTGACAATTCAAATTCAAACCTTATTTGATCAAGCAACGTTTTTACAACAAAACTTTATAGAAAGATGTTGAAACAAAACGCAACAATCCCACAACGTCACAGATACTGGCAATCAACTATAAACTATTGTAAACTATTCGAAACTTCCTTTTGATAGAGGATGAAAACGTTTTCCTTTCTTGTGTACACATTAACAAGCTATAGTAACATTAAAGCATCACACGTCAATCTCAGATCTAAACAGTTTATCCTTGTGTAATTATTTCCAAATTGAGCTCACTGTGATTGGTCGAAACAAGTGGGTCATGACGTCATACTTAGAAAACTTAACTGAAAAAATAACAAAAGCAAACCGCGCGTGTGCCTCGAGCAAGCTTCAAAGTAAACACTCAAAATTATATGACTTTTCGCTCAAACATTAATAGACTATGTTTTACTTTTTGGTGAAAGAAAATTATCATTAATTATTGCTGCATAAAATTGATTCAATTTCCGATTTTTGTTATTGATTTTACTAGGATTTTCTATTTAAAAAAATGAATTATACCTTGTCTTCGTGATCAGTAATCGATGAAGTTCTGTGTTGACCACCACATCTCCTTAAAAAGCATTCATCCTGCTGTCATGGAAACCCAGGCTATTTTTAGAATAAAATATAATATTTCCGGTTTGAATATAAACCTGGTTATAGAGGTGGGATTATTAATAAATGCAAGTTGACGTTTAAAAGAGTCGTTGAATAGTTAGACCGAAAGCGTGTGTGAGATTGTCAGAGGAAGGAACTGAATTTCTGATGCGTCAATGATTGTCAGTGTTGTTATTGATCTTTAGCGTGGGGAGACGGTTTCGCAGGCTGTTTGCTGGACCTGGCTTCAACACAAGAGACTTGAAAGCAACTCTGTCATGTTTACCTTGAATTGATGCGCAATTTAGCGCATGTTTTTATCAGCAAGTTCAGATAGCCGTTGATAAAGGAGACAATGTAACCAATTACCACGAGGTCTTCAAAGTCTGATGATAAAAAAAGCAAAGTCTAACTAAACCAGTGTTAATGTGATAATAATCATTACACAATTCGATATTTAGAAAAACATCGAGTGTTTTGATATACAGACAATGTCAGGGAGCACTGGAAAACAGCACGATGGTACCGCACACGAAGACCTTAAAGACCAATCTTTGAAAATCTGTATCGAGATTGGTCTTTCAGCAATGGACAAGCTATACGTTCCCATCGACAATACCACGACAGTAAGAGATTTAAAATGTGAAATAGAGTTCTTAAGTGGTATTCCGTCGGATTTGTTCGAGTTGGACCACAATGGTTCAGTCTTGACTGAAAGTCTGGTCCCTATGATGAGCAAATTTGAAGGTCTAAGAGCGGTAGGAAAGGTGAAATTGAAGATTTTACCAGTTTGGGAACGGTTCATCTCCACGTGCTTAAAGGCGGAGAATTCTCAAGTGCGAGCAAGAATCCGTGTCAAAATGCACGGGGTTACTAAAGAGGAAAGAATCTTCGTAGCGTGTTTCGTTGCAGCAAGGAAAGCCAATAGTTGCCTCTTGTTTGGTATTCTTCCGTCGAATAAGATGATTACAAGAACAGTGCGATTGTCTGGGAGGAATATTCTGCACGCTGCGGTCATCGGCGGCAAAACAAACTGTATTGCAAATATTTTGATGCATGGAGGTGGGAAACTCATGAACATGGAAGATATTCACAATCAGACGCCTTTGTCCATGGCAAGGACACTTAGTAAAGGTGATATAGTTGATATGCTGGAAGCATACAAGATGGTAAGCCTGCGGGGTGAGAGATCTTTGAAGGGTACGAATGATGATGATAGTGGATATGGGTGTATTATCACAAGTCAAAGCCTTGAAGAAACAAAAGAATCTTATGAACAGGACAGCGAGGAAGATTATAAACTCTCTTCTGATGGAGAAGAGGAGGACGAAACACAAAACGTACGGGGAGAGTCAGACGAAATGTCTTCGAGTTTCTCAACAGATAGACATTTTCTGGACGAATTTGCGGGTCACGACGAATCAGCCGCGACCTCTAATGACGTCACCACACGATTCGACGGATCTTCGGAGGAGAAGCTATTAATAGAACAAATAAAAAACAGTGAGAAAAACGGAAGCAAAGAATATGAAAAGAAAACGACTTGTAATAAAGACTCGTGGATCAGTGGTGATAATAAACAAGCGAATGAAAAGATTACATATTTATCGGAACAAGGCGATGAAGACAATTATCTCGTACCCCGACAAGCATCGCCGAGAGTGTGCTGTCAAGAGAGAGCAGACTATAGTAAGACCGCCAAGACGATGAACGTAAGAAAACGGGAATCGGAAAAAGAGTACGAAGAGGGAATCTTATTTGGCAACGTGTTCAAGAATAACGACAATGGAATGTTTCCTAAAAAAGAACAAGAAAAAGGACAACATTTCCTCCCCAGCAATGGCTACGCGTCTTTGAAGAATAATGACAATAGAATGTTTTCTATTAAAGGACAAGAAAAGATATCAGAAATCTCGACTAAAATAGACCGGAAGATAAATGAAAATCGAGACGAAGACGTTGGTATGGTTACAGACAAGTGTAAGAACAATGATTCTATTGAATGGGTAAGTAATGACTTGGAAAACCCTACTCAAAGACGAAGTCATACACGTAATGGGAAAATGATTTTCAAGAGTGATGAACCACAGGCAACAGCTGTCCTGAATGAAAATAAGCAACCAGGCGACACGGTCAACAAGGGGAACCGACTGATTGAAGATCAACCCGAAAGTGCCAAGTCTGGAGGGAGTTTACTTCTAAGACGACGTAAAAAAGGGATGCCTTCATTGGTTGTTTCTAGAACATCGAGTGGTTTGAGTTCTTCCTTCGAGACTTTCAATTTATTAGATTCTATGGGAAAGAATATCGATAACGATCACATCGCTGTGAATCATTCTGAAGAAACCTGTGTGAATAGTACTGATGACAAACAAGTGTGCGCACCTATTATCAAAGGACCTTGGATCCCTAAACCACCCTCAAACCTTATTCCGATTGCTAAGACTATGCAGCAAATGAGGAGACGGAAGTTCTCGATCGGCTCACCGACCAGCGGTTCTCCTAAGTTTAATTCAAGAAGCGACATGGAAGGTTACTTGGATGAGGCCTGGAGACGAGCTAGTGATTCTGACGTCAATGAAAGGTAATAAAATTGCAGATTATTTGACGAGAAGAAACAAATTAACAAGTCGAATGAATAAAAATTGGACAGAATGAGTGGATAAATGGGGGGGGGGNGGGGGACGAATCAAATGAGTAAATAAATGATCGAATATATGAATGATTGAATGTGAGGAAGGATAGGGTGTTAAATGATGGCAAAAAGGAACAAATGCAATGATTGAAAGAATGAATGAAAAATGAATGTATGAAATAATTAATAAATGTATCAATGAATGAAGGAAGGAAGGAAGGAAGAAAGAAAGGGAGGAACGAAGGGAGGAAGGGAGGGAGGGAGGGAGGGAGGGATGAATATAAGAAACGGATAGAATAATGGAAGGGATGAATAAACGATTGAAAAAATAAACGAATGAAAAAATATAGAAAAAAAAAAAATTAGAAAAGTATTAACACACACGAAAAAAGGATCGATGAATGATACATCGCCTTCATATTATTGGACTGAAATATTGGATATGATTGATATAAGATTCAATGAGTACTAACTGAGATAAATATAAATGTTTCGACCGATAGTCAGTATTATTATCACTACATATTCTACGGCACGAGCATAAACATTTATCAGTTAATAATATTTTTTCTTCTTTTTTTCTAGTTTACCAGTTCCACTGACACGACCTCGATCGTACTCCACCCCCCACCCACCCGACCCTTTTGACATTTCTAAACCTATGACATCATCCGAACTCAAAAGCTTTAAGAGCTTGAATGCCCCAGCGACAAACATTCCAAATCGAAGACAGTCAGTAGGAGGGTGGGGACGAAGAAATTCGATCTCTTTGACTTATGACGAGTGGCTTGAGACAAAAAAAGAGCAACACAGAAAGAACTCCTTGGCCGTTCAGAAAGAGAACCAACGACGTTTGTCGTTGGGAAATCAATCGACCTTGCGACTCTCTAGGTACATTAACTACGAGCAGTGGCTGGCCATGAAGACCGTGGTACCAGAAAGAAAAGCCTCCCAAGATCTCACAAATAATTGCCATGGCAACGAGAGATCTCGTGAGGAGTCCGAGAGAGCCTTTAAGACTTGGCTGCAGAAAAAAGACGAGGAAGCCCTGGAGAGAGAACTACGATTATTGGACGAGGCAATTTCGAGAAGGACAAGTGATACGAAAAAGGAGGATATTCTCTAACAGCTTACTTCAGCTTTCTTAAAAAAAGTTCTGAACACTGAAGTACAAATTAAATGACAAAGTGGTATTTCGTTCATCATAAATACTGAAATAAACTTTTTATAGCTTTAAGAGTTATAAACCAACACGAATAGCTAAGATAATACAAAATGAAACCGCTTTTTTTTTGCTTCATTTTATCGATAGCGCAAAGGAGTTTTCATTAGATTCCGTATGACTGGGAACATTAAGGTGCACGGCACGGCACGGCATTGATCGAAATGCTAACGGCGCGGTCATGGCACGGTACGGTATCATTCTCTGAACCAATCAAAGCGCGCGAGATCATTGCCTATCCGACCAAAATGGCGCGGTCATGATACGGCACGGTATTAACGTGTTTCTGTGATCCAATCACGACGCGCGAACTCATTGCCCATCCAGCCAAAATGCTAATGATGTTACGTATGGTTTTCATATCTTTTTCAAAAGTTCTTTACTTTAGTATAGATACATTCTTTCACATCAAAAAGGAAAATTGCCTTGAAAACTTATATCTTAGGTCTTTATTCTAATGAGCTACTGACATTATGGAACGGTCAATGTACAGGGGGCCCCGTGTACGCGAAGCTAGTAGAGAGATAAAAGTTGAAACTGCTCCAACCCGTAAAATCGTCTGTTAATCATACTTAACTTTGTAATTCTGTAAACTGTGTAGATTCACCAGATAGAGATTAAATAAGTGTCAAAAAATTATCTACTTATAACTTTCATTGAACTGAATTCGGTTTAATGTAAGGCCTCGAAGAGATGTACACAAGGACTGTGTAGCCTAGTTTCATGAATGCAGACTTACAACTGCGGAGGAATTAAGATATAGAACGCTGAATAGAGGCTGCTGCTCCATCATCAGTGGAAAGTCTGCTTATTATGTCTTACATAAATAGTGCAGGTATAAGCAGTATTAAGCTAACAGGCTTGATGACTATAAGGGTGAAACCCCCCCACCGACCCTACATACCAAGCGCATAGCCAGGGGGGCACTTCATGGCAAAAATAGAGCGGCTTTTTAGATTTTTTGTTTTGTTTTGTTTTTGTTCACAAATAAAACGTAAATTGTAATGCTGGTTTATATATTGTTTATTTTTATAAAAATAAAACGTAAAAAAGAAGGCCAGTTTTAAAAATTTTAGTTTAATTTTGGTTCGGCGTTTCGGGAGCGCAAGCAAAATGGCGGATTTTTCATTTGCCCCCCCCCCCCCCCCCCC